TTTTTTCAACAATAACATTCAGATATGGTCATAGTGAGCTGAGTGATTTTTATCAAATTCAAGATGAATTTGGTAATTCAATTGTGCAATTATCATTACAAAATACTATGAAACTAAATTTACTAGAAAAATTTGGTGTAGCAAATTTGTTGGGATCAATTTCCTTGCAACGTCAAGAAGATGTTGATATATATTATTCTGATGCAACAAGAAATGTTCAATCACCTGAACCAAACACTTATGATCTTGTAGCATTTGATGCATCAAGAGCTAGAGATAGAGGTATGAATATGTGTGTGTTTTAGTATTATATATATATATATATATATATATATATATATGAGATAATGTTAACATGCATATATTATAGGAATTGCATTATATAATGATGTTCGTCAGGCATATGGTTTAAAAAAAAAAGATACATGGGCAGATATAACTTCAGTTAAAGAAATACAGGATAATCTACAAAAATTGTATCCTAATGGACCTAATCAATTAGAAGCTTTGGTTGGAGCAATGGCTGAAGATCATTTGAATGGAACAAATTTTGGTGAATTATTGAATGCTAGTATGGTCACTCAGGTAACATTATTTATTATTATTATTACTTATTACTTATTATTGTTTTATCTAATATTTTCATTGTTTGCTTTACCATCTATTTATTTATTTTTCATTGCCTGTTTATCACTTATTTATTTATTTGATAGTTTACAAATATTAGAAATTCAGATAGATTTTGGTGGGAAAACAAAGAGAATAACTTGTTTACTGATGAAGATAGAACCACCAAACTTAGAAATAAAACAACATTTAGAGATATTATTTTACGTAATTTAGATGAAATTTTTCGTCCAGCAATCCCACAAAATATTTGGTCAGTTCAACCAAAGCAGAAATTGTTTGAGTCATCAAAATACCTTAATCGTATTGCTTTATGGCCAGCAGCATATGTTGTTGGTTATGAAATAATTGGAAATCATATTAATTTCCAAGTTCAAATACTAACTACAGATGGTAATGCATGGTTTGGAATGGTGAGTTGGTTATTTAGTTGATAATATCAAGTTTATGATGATGACAGTGATAAAATTTATAATATATTTATTTATTTGAATAATAAAATAGGGATTTGATCCTGATAATAATGGAATGACTGGAGCAGATTTTGTGATTGGAATTGTAAGTTATTTTTTAAAAAATAATTATCTTGTGTATGATCTTGT